CTTCAGAAAACACATGCACGTGGGCACACACACGTGCACATCCTCTCTCTCTCTCTCTCTCTCTCTCTCTCTTCAAGACATGCTCGTGTCGGGTCACGGATCACGTTCAGGAAATGAAGAGGATCATGAAGAACGTGATATCTGAACCGCCCATTAGAAGGCAACGGACAGTACGGCGCGCTTAACGAAAGTGACTCGATGACAAGGACACCGAATGCAACGGACGCTACGGCACCCCGAACGATTGCTGAAAGTGAACTGACACTAATGTGACTGCCCGCAGCTATGCTTTAAAATAGGGTTTGGAGACCGCATACTACTACTAGTGGGGTACATACTTTTACCTGTACCTGGCCAGATTCTGCAGGGCGATAGACTCACCTACTATTTTTTTCCTTTCCTGAGTGTGGCCCCACCCAGAGTGTTGCGAGCCCAAAGGCCCGGGTCCGTTCTGGCGGGTTGTTCTTCCAAAGGCCCGGGTCCGTTCTGGCAGGTTGTTCTTCCGAGTCAGGCGGGTGATCGTTTGTGCAAAGGCGGGAACTACTCGCAAGCCTCATGGCAGTCTATTTTCCCGCAATGCCCTGATTCCGCTAGCATTTTTTCATTTTTTCCCTGACAGTCTATTTTCCCGCCAAGCATGAACGAACCATGTCACCAGGCGGGAACTATATTCCTCAAGATCAACTGAAAGAAAAAAAGAAAAGGGCTACATGGGTAGGCGGGAAATGTATTCTGCCAGATAAACCCCTTTGGAAAAGGAAAAACTACTATTCAAAAAAGAAACATAGGACTACTGAAAACGGAAACGTCCACCCCCCTCTTTAGCTGAGGAATGTTTTTTCAACGGTGTTCAACAAGTGGCGGGAATATTAAGTAGAACTGAAACCCGCGCAGTAGCAGGAAAATTTTGAAGTTCACCCGAAATTTTCATTTTCAATTATAATTTCAGTTTCTAAATTTTTTGTTGCCTTTTCTCTGTACAAGTCTGCTAAATCCTTACGCACGGTCTAAATAAGCCGTCCGAATGCACAAAATATAAATATAAAGGGGGTTATTAGACACGAGGGGATCACTCTCACAATCACAGTATGACTCCTTTCAAAATATACACATGATCGCAAACAAAGTTGAATTCACTCTTAAACTCACAAAACATACATGCAATAACACAAAAGGATTCAACATCGACAGACCACACACTACACGGGGTCAACTTCGACTGCTCTCTGCACTCGCACCCCTTGCCTTATTCACACAAACCCCAAACTTTGTCCAACCTTCCAAAAGAAAACACTCAGTCTTTTTTAAATAACCATTTAATAAAAACTCGGGTAAAAATTCAAATAACAATTAAACCCCCAGACGGCTAAGTCTTTCGCCTGAGTCGAGAGAACGAGTTGGAATTGAATTATAAAGTGACTTGTTATCAAGAGATAACATAAGACGATTCTTGTATAATTATGTTGAAACTAGTCAGATTTTGAATCAAAATAACAACGAGAACATGTAACACAACACAAACCAGTTTTCAAAGTTATAAGTGTATGGAGAATAAATCCTCATATCACATTTCACCCAACCTCTCTTAAGACTAAGTCTAAGCTTAATTTTATATGATATCATAAATCATAAAAATTTCGGTTGCACCTCCCCTGTACAAGATAAATCACCGAAGTTTTTTTTGTCAAAATTAATCTAACTCCTCGAAAAAGAAAAAAAATCGGCAGTATTCGCTTTAGAGAAAACGTATTTTCATAATTTATATCCAACTAGATATAAGATAAAAAATCGACTTTTGACTTTACAGAGTCAAATTTTATCTAATTCTCTGATTCAATAAAAATTAAGAGAATACTCCCTTTATAAAAATAAGCTTTCAAAATTTATACTAAATCGTATACAAACTCATAAACAAAACTTGAACTCTTGTTAAGACAAAATTCAACTAACTTTTTAGATTTGAAGAAATATAGGCGGCACTCCCTCCAGAGAAAGTGTCTTTCAAAAATTTATACAAAACTCAATATGAATTCTATAAACATTTATGACTTCACAAAGTCAGATTTTGTCTAACTCCTTGATTTAGGAAAAAACTGGGCAACACTTTCTCTAAAAAAATAAACTTATAAATTTTTTACTAAGTCAGATATGTAACTTAGACAAAAGTTTAAGTTTTGTAAAGACAAAAATTGACTAACTCCTTGGATTTATAATTTTTTTTGCAGCAGTTCCCGTTAACGAAGGTGTTTTTCCAAAATTATAAAAAGTCAAATATAAAAATAAAATCAACTCAAAAATTCAGAAATTGAACTAACTCTTATAGCTCCAACACATGGGGAACATCTAAAGCAACTACTTATCAAAAGATAACTCAGACTAGACTTACAATGAGGCAAACACATACAACCAGAGTAAGTCTCTCACCAAGTTTCAAGTTGTTTCCACATACAAATAGTTGGTTGAACCCTCAAGTGATTAACCTTTTATCCCATCTTAAATACAGCATTGAGTTAGATCATTCATGTCAGAAACAATGTCTAACGCCTTGTTATAGTTATACATGAGCATGTTGCACAACTACTTATCTCTTCAATGGGCATGTGTGTGTGTGCCTATGTGTGTGTGTGTGTGTGTGTGTGTGTGTGTGTGTGTGTGTGTCTATGAGAGAGAGAGAGAGAGAGAGAGAGAGAGAGAGAGAAAGAGAGCCCTGCAACATGCAAAATGTCGGTGGGGGAGAGCACAAGGGCAGGCGCTGACCTCCAAAAAAAAGAAAAACGTAATGTTATTTTGAAATACACGAGTTTTTCCTCTTCAAAATTCGAGAAAAGGTACATGTTGTATTCAAACACAAAGCCCGCGCCTCCTATTTGAACTGCTCTCCTATTTGAGAAAAGTGGACCCAAACCTTTTTAATTTCGGAATGTTTAAAACTCAAGGACCATAACCACCTTGGCCTCCCATGGGCAGCTACTGGTCCCTTGCATGCCCCGCCCCTTGCTAAGCCCCATAAACTAAAAATGTCCACCTTTTCAAATGACCACCGACATTGAAATTTCAATGACGTTGAAAGTCTCAAAGGGATAAAACGCACCCCTGACGGGCTGCGAACTACTTCTAGCACACGCCAACGTGCACTGGTCCCTGCTTCCAACTCTCTCTCTCTCTCTCTCTCTCTCTCTCTCTCTCTCTCTCTCTCTCTCTC